TAATAAAATAAAATGTCTAGAATGTTTAAAAATGGCCTATTGCCTAAAGTATGTTCTACTGATTTTGATACATGTAAACCATGCATCAAAGGAAAAATGACTAGCAAGCCATTTTCAAAACATTGGAAATCATCGGAATTACTGGAAGTAATTCATTCTGACATTTGTGGCCCTTTGAGAACTAAGACTCATCAAGTCATGGAATACTTTATTACTTTCACTGATGATTATTCAAGATATGGACACATCTACCTTCTTAATCACAAATCAGAGGCAATTGAAAAATTTCAAGAATATAAATTAGAGGTAGAAAAACAACTTGGTCGGTCCATTAAAAACTTGAGTAATGATAGAGGGTGGCGAATATGAAGCTGTGGATTCTTTCTACAAGGAGAATGGCATCAAACATTTGTTTACAATGCCTTACACTCCATAAGAAAATGGATTGCAAAAAGACGAAATCATACTCTAATGGAAATGACAAGGTCTATGATGGATCATATTGACCTTCTCATTCATTTTTTGGGAGAAGCTTTGTCCACCGCTGCGTACATATTAAATAAAGTTGAAACAAAAGCCAAACCTCTCATTCCTTATAAACATTGGAATGGTACTAAATCTAGTATTCTAAATCTAAAAGTTTAGGAATGCAAAGCACATGTACTTATTTCCAAACCTTTAAGGGATAAATTAGGAAGTAAAACTTGGGAATGCAAACTTATTGATTATGTCAAAAATGGGAGTGGTTATTGTTTTTACCATCCCAAACATGGCTTAATAGAAAGTAGAGGTGCTATTTTTCTTAAATCCACTGATCTTGTTACTCTAATTAAGCAGATTGAATTGCTCTCTGAGGTATCCCCAGATTCTTCTCACCTCCTATTTGTCACAAGACCCAGTAATTCTCACCGATCAACCTCATAGTAGGAGGAAAAGAAAACAAAGTGACGTTTTGCCTGATTTGAATCCTGAGATGAGTAGGAGAAAGAAAGCAAGACGCCCATCTACATATTTGAAAGACCATTATGTTTTTCAAGTTGAAGAACTCAATGACTTGGTAGATGATCCTACTAGTTACAATGAAGCAATGAGTAGCAGTGACACTAACAATGGCGTGAGGCTTTGAATAAAGAACTTGACTCGGCCAAGAAAAAATGATGTTTAGAAATTAACTGATCTCTCAAATAAAATAAAATTCATTGGTTGCAAGTGGGTTCTTAGAAAGAAATTCAAAGTAGATGGGAGTTTGGAGAAACACAAGGCAAGGCTAGTAACCAAGGGATTAAGTCAACAACCTGGAGTAGACTTTGTAGATACGTATCCTCCTATCGTAAAATTGCTTTTCTCAATGGAGAATTAAAAGAGGAAATTTATATGATGCAACTTGATGGTTTCCAGATCCAAGGTAACGAGGATAAAGTCTACAAGTTGAAAAGATTCTGATGTACTCAAACAATCTTCAAGATAATGGTACTAGAAATTCGACCAAGCCATTTTAGAAATGGGCTATGTTGTGAGTCCATTAGATCATTGTGTTTGTATCTGGAAAAATGATGACAGGTTAGCACTATTGTCTTTATATGTGGATGACATATTGTTAGCAGGAAATTGTCCAAATATGATTATAAAAACTAAAACTTTCTTGGCATCTAGATTTGAAATGAAAGACATAGGTCCTGCAACCTATGTTGTAGGAATTAGAATTTCAAGAGATAGAAATTCAAAGTTATTATATCTAGATCAAGAAAAATATCTAGAAAAGGTGCTCAAAAGATTTTATGTGGATAATTGCAATTCTTTAAGCACACCTGTCTGCAAGGGACAAAGTCTTAGTAAAAGTATGAATCCTCAAAATAAGTCTGAAATTGAGGAAATGAGAGATGTTCCATATGCTCAGGCAGTAGGCAGCCTAATGTATGCTATGACAAGCACAAGGGCTGATATTTGTCATGCAGCATGATTGGTAAGTCGATTTCAATCCAATCCAGGTAAGGAACATTGGCAAGCAGTTAAAAAAATATTCAGATATTTAAAAGGCACCAAGGGTTTAAATTGTGTTTTGGTTTGTATGATCTAGAAATAGAAGGATACACTAAAGTGGATTTTGCAAGAGATGTAGATGATAAAAAATCTACTAGTGGTCATGTGTTCTTGTTTGGTGGAACAACAGTTTCTTGGTTAAGTAAGAAACAGAGTTGTGTTGCAAAGTATACTATGGAAGCTAAGAACATAGCTTGCAGCACAGCTAGTAGTAATGCGGTCTGTGGATAAAGCGATTTGTTAACAATTGACAATTAGATATACCAGCCAGACTAGTCAATATGTTCTGTGACAATTAGTCTGCCATCTCATTAAAAAAAATGGAACGAATAGCTCTAAGGGAAAACATATTGATGTGAGTTATCACTATATTCAAGATATAGTGGAGAAGGGAGAAATAAAAGTCGACTATATACCCTCAGAAGAGATGGTGGCCAACTCTATGACCAAAGGGTTGTCTCTGGAAAAATTCAAAGAACATGTAGCTAATATGGGATTAAAATATGTCTAGCTAGGTGGTTTAGCTACTTACATAAGAGCATTGTCGAATAACTATGGGGACACCTGGATAACCGATGTTATGTAACTCTATTTTGCATGGAAACTTGTGTTTGGTTAGGTAATAAGGTAGAAGAACAGACAAGGTACGGACATCATAGTTAGCATGAGATGTAAAGTCCATGATATGCAACATGCTAACTATGTGATGTTGTCTGCTTGATCAGCAAAAAGTTGCTGATAAGGTATGTTAAGAAAAACCTTCAGGAATAGGCCTTAGAGGAAGTACTTAACAATAATTTCGGCATAGGTTGACACAAGAGGAATGTATACGGCTGAAGTCGTCGATGGTGATTGGGTACGAACTATGAACCCAGCACTGAAAATTGATGTCATTCACTTAAAATATAGTGAATTGAAGTCATTTGGAGTGTGTTGTCAATAGGACAACACATTCGTCTGGATATGGTCAGATTGGTGGCAAAAATGTGCGAACGTATGGCCAAGTCACAATCGGACGTTCATCTATGAGTTAAATTCATAGATGAAAGTTGGCTTGAGGCAAAATTCTGGTACCAAGGTAAACATGTCCAACTCAGGTTCTATCACATTGTTATAGTGTGATCAAGTGGGAGATGAAGGTATGAGAGATGATCACACCATAATTCAGTGGACTCTCTCACACCTAATCAAACCTTGCTTTGGTTGGAGAACATTCCCGCACAAGATAAAGCTGATAGAATTAATTCAAATTCAAATCCTAAATGACACAACTCTATGAATGAAGGCACCTATTTGAATGGTCTTAACCTTTAGGAATAGATGCATTCAACATCTATAAATAGGTGATGTTATAAGAGCTTTTTTTCTTACTTCTAACTCTTTCATTCTCTTGCTTCCATTATAGTCTGAATCTTGTGCGTGATAAATACCCTCACGGGAACACCGATCAACTTATCATTGTAAAGTTTATCTTTCAATTTGTAATGTGAAATTTATGAGCTAGGATATTGTTATCCCAGGTAGGCAACTCAAGAAGAAGATGAATTGGGTTTCTAAATAAATTGTCATATTAAAATTTAACCCAACTAATAAATAAATATCAAATGGGAATAAAAATCAAATAATATTCCAACTCAACAATATCAAATAGAGTAATCAAATAAAATAAGCAAAGAGAAAGCAAACTCAGAAATTTATAGTGGTTCGGCACACTGGGCCTACATCCACTCCCCAAGTACCCTTCTCGGGAATTTCTCTACTATTCTTCAAATAGTAATTACACCACTAGTTTTATGGGTGCTAGTGAACCTTTATAATAAGTGACCAATCCCGATCACTCCGATTAGTTTAGAATCCGGTGCCTAGTCACACCTAACCCAAGTGATTTTGTCACAAAAAAATCACTCACAAAAATATCCCAATTAGTTTTGAATCTGGTGCCTAATCACACCTAACCCAAATGATTTTATCCTAAAAAATCACTACAAAAACTCTTTTTTTACAAGTATAAAATGAATAAGGGATGGAAAACCCTTTTATAATTTTGCTCAAACTCTCAATATATTTTCTCACAAATAATATAACTCAATGAAGCACAATACTGTTTTGAGAATCACAAGATATAATCACTACTCTTTTCTTTTTTTCTTCTCTTCTACTCTATTTTTCTTCAACCAAAATACTCTTTATATAGCAAAAATATATCTATCCTCCGTTGGAGAATGACGCTCCCACAGATGGTAGCTTCGAGCACGCGAGACGCCTCATTTCTTATCTTCAAAAATTGTAGGCAGAGGTTTGAAATTAATGACCAAGGGTCGCTTTCAATAAATAGTATTTTCTAATTTTTTTTTTCTTCAAAAAAACTTATGAATTTCAAAAGTTATACAATAACTTCAATAGTAACTTCTCTATTAAAAAAAATACGATACACAATAAAAGCTATTTAAATAATATTTATAACACATACATCATAAAATATATATTTTAACAGATAATATTTTGTGTTAAAGAATGTAAATATGCATATTAAAATATCTCATAATATTTTAGACATTATCAAAATTAAACCATATGATTAACAGATATGTCAAGCACATTTATGCAAACTTAATTAAAATCACATAATTTTTTCATTAATCAAAAATCAAAATTTTAAAGCCCTAAGTTGTGGTCTGTTGATATACAGATCTCGCGAATGGCTTCAAAGTGAATCTGGATTGTTGGATCTGTTACATGACCTTATATTATTGTTTGGATTGTTGGACCTGGCACTACAAGAATAGTGGGATTTAACGGCGTTTATTTAACGACGTTTAAAAAAATGCCTCTGTTTTTAACATTTAACGGCGTTTTTATAAACGTCGCATTTTGTTTAATAATACAACCCCGTTTTAATTTCAGAAGTCGTTTTTAAAACGCCTTCGAATGTGTTCTTTTAATTTTTTTAATATGGGAGAACATAATGCAGCGCATTCACTCTCAGTCTCCCTCTTTTTGTCTAAACCTTGATTTCACTCTCTCTCTCTCTCTCTCTCTCTCTCTCTTCAAACCCCTTCGTATTTGTAGAACCGCAGCTGAACCCCTTTGTATTCGTAGATCGATTCATGTATTCGAAGATCGATTCAAGTATTATTCACTCTCAGTCTTGCTCTCTCTCTCTCTAAACCCTTAATTTCAATCCCTCTCGCTTCAAACCCCTTCGTTTCAGAGACAACCCTTCATATTTGTAGAACCGTAGCTGAACCCCTTCGTATTTGCAAATCGATTCAAGTATTCATATATCGATTCAAGCCTTTTCTCTAATTCGTGTTCGCGTTCGCGTTCGCAGCTCTTTCTTCATAGTAAGTATTGATCAGTATCATCTCTATCTTCTTACTGACGGAATCATTCGATTCAAGTATGCTAGGTTTCATCTACTTTATCATTCTTAGATCAGATTGAAGATCTATTGATTCGATTCAAGTATGGTAGGTTTCGATTGAAGATCTATTGATCGATTGAAGATCATAATGTGTATTGTAGATGTCATAATGTGTATTGTAGATATTTGTATAGTTTTCACAGGTTAATATTCATCTGTTTTCTTATCAGATGGATGATTTGTAAATTTCTATGGTCTCAAAACATAATATGGCATTAATAGGATGTTTCTATGATGAGCTACTCTTTGGAATGTTTATGCTGCTAAAAGTGTTAATCCCAAATTAGTTGGCTTGGCTTGGCTTGGATATCCATTTTTTGCTGACAATCTTGATTATGAAAGTAAAATGGCACTATTATTGGAATAAGTAATGTTCATACGTTAGTGCTTAATCTGACTCTGTTCATGCAGATGGTGATGACTGTTTTCGCATACATCTATCATCAGTCATTTGTTGCATCACAAAGTTTATCGGTTGAGATGATTTTGGACCAGGTAAGTTTGTGTACTAGAATGCTGATTGCTTGTGGATATATTTTTACATTCAGATTCAAGCAATAAACATGAGGAATTATTTTGGTGGCATTTCTGTGATGCAGATATTGATGAACCTCACTTTCGAGGAGCAGCGAGCTCTATACACGTATGTTTGTAGCTTCTCCAGGTGATCATCATTCTCATTCACTCAATACTAACTTATCAATCTGGAAATAAATAAGTAAATAATAATAATGCCTAATTTATCAACTTTGTTATCTACTTACATGTATGTTTGTAGGACTCACACAAAAAATATGGTGGCGTAACAGGTCAGATAGTAGGGCCTACTTATGAGGAAGAAAAAAAGAAGAAAAAAAAAACAGTCAATTGTTGTGTGACCAATGGGACAATTTGTTTTCTGTGTCTGTTTCTGTGAATTTCTCCTGTGTTTGTAGACTGATTCTTATGTAAAAATCACAATAGTGGGAAAGCAAAAACAGGGCAAAAACAGAGGAATGTGCATTAGAAAACTATAGAAGTTGATAACAAAGGGAAAATGTTTTATAGAATGGCATGAATCGGTGAAAAATTGAATGTCAAATAATGGCAATGCTTGGTATTTGGGGGGAAAAAGATAAAAAATTTGAAATAAGTGAATTAGATTTGGAACATTGGTTCAGTAATATGAACCCTTGGAGTAAAACTCACCCTAAAAATCAACTTGCAAAAGAAAGGTGCCCAATTAGTTTATATTCACAAGACCTAACCTATTTTGATTCAATGTGAGATCGTACCACAACACTGCCTAAGACTAAGAACATCTCTTGGCACCTATAATATATTCCATTGAGATTACTATATTTTTTCAGGTAAGATTTCTGTGCGAGAATGTGACAGTATTGTTAAGCGGACAAGTTGAGAGGGTCTTGACTTCTGTAATTCTTTTCCCTCTCCTTATGAATGTAAACACAATGTTGAACCACATGTATCTTGTATTTTTTATTTTTTTATTTTTATTTTCTTGTTTACAATTTTGTGGATTGTAAACAAAATCAATTTAGATGTTGATTTTTTATTTTTATTTTTTGGCAGCTTATGCATGGTTGAAATGTGAAAGGGGTGAAGAAGAAGATTGCTATGAAGTGCTGAGAGAGAATGGTATATTTGTCTAGATTAAGTCTATCTAGTTGTTTATGGCACTAGCCTCTTTGTGTCAATCTTGTTACACATTTATCACAGATTGATTGCATTTGAAACAATGCATTTATAGAATTGTTGTTGTTGTCGTCGTCGTCGTCGTTGTCTCTACATCTACTCGAGTTGAATTTCAGATCCTCTACTTTTAAAAATATATATGTACATATTTTATCATGGTAGCTAGTCATGGATTGACATTGCCACATTGACATTTTCTCTTTTTCCATTGACGATGGTGACATGTAGAGCTATAGTCATACCAGAGAAAAATGATGGACGTTTGAGTAACTCAATTGTTGTCATGCATATATATATATATATATATGTATATACACGCACACAATAACCTCTGCATAACAAGTCTTTGGCAATAATATAGGTTCTCTTGGCTTTTTGACATTTTGGAATTGTGTATATTTGACTGATGCATACATAAAATTCTATAGGAAAACTTTTTGGGCACTGTTTGTTCTTGGTGATGATTGGTAATATACATAACATGCTTACAATTCCTATTTTGGAAATTAAATTTGAAGGCTCATCTTTGTGTTTGTTTTTTTTTTTTTTTTGAATCTGCAGTGGCCACGGAAGCTTTTCCGACGACCCTTTGTTGAACAGTGTTGTTGGACATCTCCTGCATTCGTCAATTCTTGTGCCTTATCATGGATGGTGTGTTCTTGATCTTAACTCTTTGATTTTGATATTTGTATATTTGTCTAAAATAAGTTTGTGAAGAAATGGTGTTTGTGCATATTTCTTCAAACTCCTCATTTATCACCTCTATTTTTCGAACCTTCTAATATGTAAAATTTTTATTTCCTCAAACTCCTCACTTATCACCTCTACGTAATTAGCATTTTTTGTTTCTATGAAGAAATGATTGATTGGAAATCTAACAGTATAGATGTTCAATATTACAATATTATTCTTAACAAGGAGATTCTGATATTGAAGTGATTGGGCTTTTAAAAACATTTTCCAAGGAGAAGTTGATAATATTTTCCAAGAATTTTTTTTATTTTTGGACATCACCTGTAAGGCCAGATAGCATAATAGGCATTTATTTTTGTGACAAGATCACCTAAGACTAACACAAGCTCAATCTAACACTACTTGGTGCTGCAACATCATCCAGACACCATTTTCAAAATGATACAAATACTGTTGAGGAGTATCAGAGGAACTCTCAAGTATTGTGTTGCATAAATAAGACCTATGAGTTGCCCGTTAAATGACTTTGTTTTGCCTCCAGAGAAATCTGAGAAGCTCCATCCTCTTGGACCCAGAAACCACTCCTCATTTAGTATTGCGAGAGCATTTGCTAGGAGAAGAAAGCCTTCAAGTAGAGTCCAAAAACCCATTTTCTGCATGATGAAAATCTTGTTTAGCAAAGACTTGCAATCTTCAAGAGAACTTGATTAGAAGTTAACTATTTCCACAAACACATAAACCCAACCACCCAATCTTCAAGAGAACAAACAAGAGAACATATATATAAAAATTTAGAGGGCCAAATTAAAAGGCATTTTTAGAACTTTAGGCTAAAAGTTAAATTTCAAAAAAATGCCGCTGTGTGTACGGGAATGTTTTGATAAACAAACAAGAGAACAAAGATATAAATGTGTGTATATATTTGTTATTTTTGTATAAATTTAAATGTGTATGTAAATCTGGATTCTACTAGTTTAGGAGGATCTATCAACGGGTTTTTAGTATAGGAGCTCTTTTCTTTCTTTATTATTTTTTTTAAAGTTCCTACATTAGCAATGAAGAATGTTGTAAGAAGTTTGTCCATTTGTTATGCCACTAGCACTAGGTTTACTCCGAGCCAACATTTTTGCATTTGGTTGGTACTTTTTAGTGGCATGAAAATGATGTATCAACAGTCTGTGATGTTCAGGCACCGATACAAATGGCACAAGGCAGAACTGAAGAGTTGGTGAGTTTTTATTACCAATCACCAAAGAAGAAAAAGATGCAGAGCTGTTGAGTTTTAATAGTTCAACAGTCTTCTGTAATTGAATATGTGAATAAGAAATATTAGCATCTGAAGAAGAAATAATTACAGTCTTCTGTAATTGAGTTTTAACCATTTCTCTTTTGACAGATTTGTTCCATTCCCTAGTTGGATAGTAATGACCTGGGAAGCATCTGAAGAAGAAATATTAGCTTCTGGGGGATTGGATGCAGTGGTTTTCCTCAGGATTGTTGTTTTCTGGTAATTATATCTTAACTTAAACTTGTAAAGTGAAAGTTCATTCATGTGTTGTAGAGGTGCAGCTAATCTTGATTTGGAGAATTACTAGAAATGACTGATATGTAGAGGTTTTTGGTTGTTACATTGCTGGGTAATGTGATTGTTTCCATGAACTACATTGATAAGGGATTTATTGTTGACTGCCTATCACAAAAAAAAGAAAAATAATATAAAAGGGTTTCTTCTTGTCTGGTGCCTCTACGTTGGCATCCTCTTCTTCTTCTTCTTCTTCTTCTTCTTATTTTTCTTCGCAAATGTTAGTGCATTTATAATATCAATTAATGTTTGAGTGAAATTTCAAAATCTGTAATTTTCTTTGTCTAACACGAAAAAGTGAAAAGATAGTAGCTATTCACGAGAATGGCATGATTGGCTGAAGAAAAGCTTGGCTACTCTTGTGGTATCCATCTTATATTATTTGCTTATGTTTTATTCTATTTTCTATGACTATGAATAAGGGATTTTTCATTCTAGCTGATTTAAAACAATTGGGACCATTTATAATATGAGGATCATGTTTTTGACAGTGAATGACAAATACTGTAATTTTTTAGTGCTTCACTTCATACAAGGTATCTCACAGTTTTTATTTCTTTTGAACTTAATAATATATTTTTTCCATTCTTTGTAATCTGTCTTTCGCTATAGTGGGTACTCTGGACCTCTTTCAATTGAAAATTGGAACATTCACAAATAACTAAAAGACATACCTCTTTTGTGCATACCATTCAAATGTTACCTTATTTGAATTATTTCGATGTTGTTGACTTGCTACTTTTCATCCATCCAACTATTTAATGAGCTATGCTAGTCCACATCACATAATAATTCCAAAACACATATTATGGGCATACTAAGCAGTAAGCACGATCCTTTTTTATAAGAAATGTCATAGTCAGTAGATATAAAGATCTGTTATATGTATCATGTACCTTTCTACTGATTAGTTGATTGCTTGCAACCCATCTCATGAGTTGTCACCTCGTGATTTACCATCAACGAACAAAATTTAAATTTAAATCTGGTATTGAGGACAAAAAAGTTTTGCATTTGTTTCTTGAACATTATCCACCTTGAAAGTTACTTTGGTAGCTCTAGAGTTAGTGGTGCTATACCTTCAACGTTTGTTGTTCTACGAAATCTGCAGACAGTGTAAGAGCTTTCTGAACTATCCTTTCTGCATATCTGAGAAACTAAAATATTGTGTTCAGATTAATTGTTTTTATTATCAATTTTACCGAGGAAGAATTTTGGGGATCTCAGGTGGGCTTCAGACAATGAACTCACTAGTAGCATACCTGAATTCATTGGGAATTGGTCAAAGCTTAAAAGCTTGTAAGCAATCTTCTATGTTGTGTTTTGACAATCACACTCAAATTATAGCCCTACTTTAAAATAGCAATGTATAGTAACTGAGATGTATAACACTCTTCAGCAATCCACTTCACTTTTCTTTTTCTTTTTCTTTTTTCTTTTATTTATTTTATTTTATTTTATTGTTTGTAGGAGATTTCAGGGAAACTCCTTTGGAGGTCCAATACCAACAACATTTTCCAACTTAACCTTGATGGAGGACTTGTGAGCATTAACTCTTTCAACAGCTTTTGTTCATATTAGCATATCAATAAAGCTAATCTGCTCTTTTATAATATACCCATGCTCATCTAGGAGAATAAGTGATTTATCTAGTGGAAGTTCTTCATTGGCATTTCTTAAGGATATGAAGTCTTTGAATCTCTTGTAAGGCGATATGGTCAAAGATTATCAAAGATTGTTACAACTGTTCGCAGATAAAGAGGGTGGACTTAGCATGGTCAGTTCTTCACCGAAGGCCTCATCAAAGGAGATGGAAGGGAATGCCTTGATTGGGGTTGATAAGGTCCGTTTAGCATTTCTATATATATATATATATATATAGTCCATTTATTTTAATAATGGTTTCGTTAAGATTGTGGTTATGGTGTGGTCTATGATTATTGTTACTTTCTGTTTACATTATTATTGTTGGTAAAATTGTCATAGGCTGAACTTTCATTTCTTGCATTGTACTTGTATAATTTGAGATATTGATCATGGTGGTTGTTCATTTTGAAGTGATGGGCTCTCATTTCTGATGTATGTTGAGTGTTTTATTTTGATTTGAACACGGATTGTGGGAAACAAGTGTAACTGGGTAAGGAACTTTGATCTCTGAATTTGATTGGACTTACATATCAATCTGGTTAGAAACTTCGTATTGTTACGACTAATGTGTTGCTAAATGTGCTCTTCCTTTAAATATACGATTAATTGCGTAGGGATTCGACACTGCACATGCCGTAGCCAGGTAATAATGGTATTGGGCTGGAAGTTTAAACAAATTTTATCCTCTTGAAGTTTCTGTGATATGGGTTCGGAAAATTATTTTCAATTATCTTTGTGATCTCAGGGCATATGATCGAGTGCAATTAAGTTCCGTGGAACTGATGCAGAGTATCAATTTTAATATCAGTGATTATAATGAAGATCTTCAACAGTGGTCGGGTTGGTAAAATGTCTAGTTGATAACAAAGTTTTCTTTTATAATGGAATGTAATTGTGTTTATCTGGTTTTGATCTTTATGCAGATGAAGAATTTGACGAAGGAAGAATTCGTGCATGTACTTTC